ACCTTTATTTGACAAGTAAAAACACTGTCATCTAGCATGACAACAGTACAAGTTCTCATATCTCGTGCGTTTCTCGAATTTAGTGTTGTTCTTTTAGGCGAGTTAGACGTGAATTGAGTCGAGGGCAAGGCAGTATAGGTTGAATCAGATTCTCGAAGTCGATGTAGATGCTCCTTATTACTGATATTAACTGAGGAATTTTTGTCGGGATGGAGGTGGGATGAGATTAAAGGCCAAGTTAGGAGAGAAGAGGGAGGCTGAGGAGCCAGCCCGGAAGCGTGAGTATCTCTCGAAATTGTTTGGGCATCAACAGAGTGCAGAGGAAATGAAGGCAAAGATAGACGAATGGGAAAGGATAATGGGAGCAAAGTCAACATTTTATCACTAGGGCTGGAGTGGCCGTGGCGTAGTGAAACAGGATAAGGCTTGATTTGTGCCGTTTCATCACAAATACCATCACCGCTGCTACCGCAGATGCCGCCACCTGACCAACTCTTGGAATCCTTATCCCTAGCCACATTGCCACAAACTGGATCCGTCTGAATTGAACCTGTGGCAAGCGTTTCTCGAAATCGCTCAAAATGCAATACCTGAGGAGCGTTTGAAGATACTATAAGGGAAATGCAAAGGATAGAGCCAAGTTGTAGAGTGCAGGGAATATAGCAAACATTACCCTAAATATAGAAGGGGTAGTTTAAGAGAACTCGAAGGCAAAAGTTGCTGATGAGAAAAAATGAGAGCAATTCTAATAAAATATTTTAGTTTGATATTAACTCTCCTTTGATAATTTATAATAGTATACCGATGGTCTTGGCAACACAAGAAATAGCCAGATCGACAAATTGGCACAAGTTAACCGAATAAAATAGGCAAAATGGTCAAAGAGAAAAACAAGGTGGTTCGGATAAAACAGACCCATTACGCATAAAATTCATCCAACAGAGATATAAACATTAAGTTCCCCCAATATGCTATGTAATGTGTGAGGATTCATAAAAGATGTTCACATATTTCATAATCATAAGGAGCAAGGAAAATCATGCTAGCAACGATAAACATGGGACTGGCAACAAACTGCCTATGGATACTAAACGGATTGCTAAAATCACTTGAAGATGGTCTCTATACATTGCCCTATAGGTACAAATCAATCTTTCACAATCGTGGACTATTTTACAGAGTCAGTTAGCTGGGCTTACAAAATATTTGGAATGTATCATCGATAGTCAGATGCTGGAAATGACGAATACTA